TTTTTGTTTTTTGCACTGAAACTAAAAAGTAATATTAGTTTATATTTGTATATGTGAAAGTCTCAGCAAGTTTAGATTACAAGGGAATAATTCCCAAAGAGATTGAAATTCTTTCAGTACTCTGAAAGTTTAAGTAGCACATGAATTGATATTTTAAGGTTTGGTAGAATTTTCCTGTGAAAACATCTAAGGTTTTTTTCTTTTTTGTGTGTTTTATGGAAATCTATTTAAACTTTCTCTCTTTCTTAGTTAACTTGTTTTTAACATTTTTCAAATTGTTTTTCATTTTTTAATCAGTACCTTTATTATGTAATGATTACATTTGCTGAGGAGAATTTGTACATGTACATAATATATTTAATTCTTTTTGTCCCTTCTTCTCCCGCTGCTGCTTCCAACTCTTCTTCCCATTTGCAAAAGCTCAATTTTTTCTTCAGATTTTTTATATCTCTTTCCCTCTCTTCTCTCAGCTCTACCTCCATCTCTCCTACCCTTTTTCATCTGAAAGCAAAAAATCTCTTGGTTTTCTATCATCTCATTTTTTGCTCATTATTCAGATTTCAGTTTCTCATATAAGAAAATGTAATATTTAATCTTGTGTGTTTGATTAATTTCACTTGACATTGTAGTCTCAAAGGGCATCCATTTACCTAAAAATGCTTCAAATTTATCCTTGTTCGTGGCCCAGTAGTATTCCATAGCATATCAACACCACCTTTTTTATCCATTCATCTATTGGTGGGCATAAAGGCTGTTTCCAGGATCCTCAGACAAAGCACTAATACCTAGAATATATAAAGAAGGGCCACCAGATAGCTCAGTGGATTAAAGTGCCTGTTTAGGCAGACGCAGAGGCTGGGGGTTTGATCCCCAGCGTGTGGTGCCAGCCCTGCCCCCAGGGTGTGCTGAGATGTGGTTGAGACTGGGCATAATGGGGCACACCTGTAATCCCAGCACTGGGGAGGCTGAAAAACAGGAAGGATCACTACGAGTCCGATCTGTATAGTGAGACCCTGTAGACCCTGTACTAAATACATAAAAAAGAAAATATCTAGAATATGTAAAGAGATCAAAAATATTAGATGTTGCCAAGTTTAAAGACCCAACTAGGGGGTGTGCCCCTTACCTGGGGACCTGCCCCTTAGCTCAGTTCTTTAAGTGGCTGCTTCAACAAAGCAGTCAGGCTCAGGTTGCTGTGGTTTGATCCCCACAACTCAAGCCAGCCAAACCTGCCCTGAAGGCATTCGGAGAAAAAAAAAAAAAAGACCCAACTAAGAAATAGATATCCAAAATGAAGAGACACCTTTTGAGATAAAGAATTACAAATGGTCAGTAAGTATAAGAAAAATGTTCAGTATTGCTAGTCACACCAATGTTAACTTGCTTAGCTACATTTGCCTAAATATTCTTCCATCTTACCTACATTAAATCTGCAAAATTATCTTTTATTATATTTCCCGCATTTCAAAGAATATTCTTGCTATTTCTTACTTCAATGTCTTTCAAACAACAATAGTTTATTTATTTGAGCTATATTTTGTTCCATTTTCTAACACTGGTTTTGTTTTTATCTTTATTATTTCCCATTCACTATTTTCTAGTAGGTTTTTTGTTAAGATTTTTGTTATGTTGCATATTTTTGTTAGGTTTTGTTATGGTCTTTCTGAGTTAGATATCTAATTATCTTTGTGATGTAAATTTATAAGGCAATATATTTTCTTTTTATGTTTGTTTAAATTTATACCCTGGATTTAATACACAATGTTTTTATTGTTATTTTTTAGAAAATGTGAAATTTTAGATCGTATTTTCCCTGGGGCCTTAGAGTGACTCCGTAGGTCAATTAATTTTTTTTACAAAGAGGTATTTATTTATTTATCTGTTCATTTTGTGGTACCTGGAATCGAGCTCAGGACCTTGTACGTGCCAGACAGGCACTGATGCCACTGAGCTATATCCCTAGCTCTAAAACAGGTATTTTTAAAGCAAATTATTCCCTTGGATAATAAGCTCTAAATTTCTCCTTTTGCTGAGCTTCATCTCCAAAGCAGTCCCCAGTATTTAGACTGTTAGGGAAATTTGTGTTCAAAAATTCATATTTTATCAATGTCATTAGTACCTATTTGTGCTGTATAATGAACGCGCGCACAGTGGAGATTTAGTACCCACCCACAAGGCAGCTTAGCCATTTTCCCATTGCCTTCCGCTCCCCTTCCTCCTCCTCCTCCTCCTCCCTCTCTAAGCCTAGATCACTTGCCCATTCTCAAAAGTGATCCCCGACCTCTCCGTTTCCTTCCATCCCCCTCTTATTTTACTGCTTGAGCCTCAGATGGGCTTCTGTAGAGGGCCGTCCATGGCTTGGCCTCTGACGAAGTCGAAGTCACATGGAGCGCGGAGAGTCTGCCTGGCAGAGCCTCACGTGGACGGGTCTCCACCACCCCTGGGGATTTGTGAGCGCAGGATTCCCATGGAGGAAAACGCACAATTCATCACCTAGGGGTTTTGGCATAACATAATTAAGCGCACACAATTCTTTCAGAGATTGGCCTTTTGCGTCCTACCTTGTAAACCTGCAGAAAGGGACAAGCTAAGGCGAGAAAGAATATTTAGCAATAACAAGAAAGCTTAGAGTCAAGAACTTGAGGCAGTAGGAGAGTACTCCTGAGAGCTGAGAGTTCCGGTAGGGCAGAAACAGTCAGAACAGTAAGAACAATGGCTAAGTCCCCCAGACTAATCCTAGTCAATATTGGGTTCTCATGTTAATCAAACTTTAAATTGTGTGTGTTACAGATGGAAAGCCACATCCGCTAATCTTTGCATAAAACGTTTCTGTGATCGCTCACATATAAATAAAGGCTACGGAGACACACTCTTCTCCCCTCTTAACCCCACCATGTTTCTCTGAGTCTTTCTTCTTTGCCTCCGCTTTCCTCTGTCCCCAGGTAGCTGCCCCTGGAAGCTGAGCCTGGATCCCTGCAGGCTTCAATTTGGACAAGACTTTATTTATTTCCTCCCAGTGCTTGCCCGTTCCAGGGATAAGAACTCAGAATGACTCTTCCTTGCAGAACAGACCATGGAAGAAATCCTCTGGTGGTTGCACCGTGAAGGGGAATATATCCTTTTTTCAGGGTGTGCTCTCAGCTCTCTCCCTTTGGAGGGTCCACGAGGCGCTCCCGGCGATTTCTGGGAAGCTAAATCTCAGACGGAACCCTTTCTTTAACGTCTTAGAGAACTAAGTGCCCATTTGGTGCTTTTAGAATTTAACTTAGCTTAGCACGGTTTTTGCAAGTACAAAATGTCAGTGTAACTATGCTGTTCAGTGCCTGTAAACAGAAGCAGCACAGGCGCAGCCCGCCAGGCTCCCCTGTCTCTGTCTTCCCTAGGGGAGATTCTGAAGCTCATCAAGGACGAGGGGTTCGAGCTGGTGCAAATGAAGGACCTGCTCCTCACTCCGGAGCAGGTGGGGAAGATTTATTTCCAAATAACAACGAAAGATTTCTACAATGACGTCTTAGAAGTGTTGTCTGAGTAAGTTTCTGATAAAGCGTATTACAAGAGTACAGCGATGTGGAAACTTGGAGAAAGACAGACTTTGATTAAAAATTTTCCATCTCATCACATTCATGAAGACTCCCTGCTAACACTTGGTGTTTATTTACTTCTCTTTCCCTTCTTTGTGTCTTTATCTTCGTGTTTTTCCCCTTTCTCTCCTTCTTCCTTTTCTCCTTCCCTCCCTTCTTTCCTATATCTGATTCCATTAGATCTTTACACTAGCTGTAGAGGCAAGCTGGATTTAAACTCCTTTGTAGGTAAATGGATGCAACTAGAGACCATAATGATAAACAAAATGAATCAGACCTACACTGCAAAGATCAAAAAGAAAAGAAGTTAAAGTCCTGTTTTGCTGATATACTGAATCAGTTTCTCAATTCCTTAATCTGTCAAATGGAAGTGAGAAGACCATGGGCCTCACGTTTTGTGCAGAGGCTAAGTGGCTGATACAAGAACAGCACGTGGGGCAGAGCAGAGCCCATCTGAAGGGTTCAGTAAATGTTAGCTTTCTTTATTCTCATCTTTTTTCTTTTACATTTATTCACATCTTGCTACACTCCTAACAAGTGTATAATCGATGTACAAAGTGTAATCAAAATATACAGTGGCTGTTTATAATTTAAAAATTTATTACAGTAAAAGATGCTATGGTGATATCCAGTCCTAGCCCAGGCCCGGGGAGTGTGTGGGAGAGCTGCCTCTACACCTACTCCACCTTGTCCCCTCCAGACTCAGCTCAGGCCTGGCATACAGGCCTGGGGTGAAACCCTTCAGCTGCAATCCCTGCAGAGAGTGTACGGAACAGAACCACCCAGCTAGTCCAGGAGCAGAACATCTTGCCAGAGGGGCACAACAGGTTCGCCACCAAGGGTAGCAACAGGAAGGAACTG